TATTTACTTTTTACATTGTATTTGTAATTTAATAAACAATGTAAGTTTGTACAATTTGTAATTCGTCACAAAATGATTGCACTCTTTTTTCCTTGCCAAGTTTTTATCCCAATTGGGTTTTTCTTGGTAAGGTTTTTAATGAGGCAATCATGAATTACAAATTTAAAAATTAATAAAGAAATAATTTTTTTATATAGTTCGTGTGTTCATTTCAAATTTAATATATATATAAATATAATATATATATATATAAATTGTAATACTAATATATATATAAATAACTTAATATTAAAAAAAAAGTTTAAAAAATTCAGGCAATTCGGGCGGGCTCGGGCCGCCGAATACAAGCCCGCGGCCCGTTCAAGGTGAAATTCGGGCTCGGGCGGGCGGCCCCAAAATCTCGGGCGGGTCGGGTTCGGGCTCGGGCAAATCCTCGGGCTTTTCGGGCGGTCGCGGGCGGCCCGTCCAAAGTTCCAGCACTAGGATGAGTGACCCTAATGAGTAATGACCACACTTAGAGTTACACTTTGACACATGATCTTTGCACAAGAGAGACTAAGGGGTTGTTTGGTTGAGGGATTCGTATCCCGATTCGAATCATGATTCATGATTCGTTACAGTATTTTTTCTTACAAAAAATACACATAAATTGAAAATGATTCTAATCTTATAATTCTAATCGTCTCTTAAATTTGGTCGGGTCATGTTTGAGTTCAAATTGTTTGGCAATTAGACACCATCAAAGGCATCAACAAATAGTACCATACAATTACAATAAATACAGATACGGCTTCTCCAAAAGTAACTCCACCAGCCAAACGACATCTGGTTTTCTTTTCTTCCATTTGTTTAATTACTTAATTAATTAAATTACTATTGAGTTTTCAGGCATTAGGCCAACTTAAAAGGTGAATAAAGATTAATAGGCCAAGAATTATATAGTGTTAATAAATAGGCCATTTGAATGTAGACAAGGATTTACCATGTTGTTAAATTACAAAGCTGCCCTACGTTGAAAAACCTTCCCTTCTTACTCTCTCTTTTATATGAGACATTAAGAGCCTATTTAGTTCACTGATTCAAGTTTTTAATTCAAATTAAGATGTGATTTTATGTGAGAATTTTTTATTATTATAAAAAAATTTAATGTGATTATTTTTTAGAGCTTTTTATTGTAGAAAAACTCAAATCGATAAAATAAACTGATAAAATTCAGATCAACGAATTAAATGAGCCTTAAACTTACCAAATGAGCTATTTACTGCTTAAAGCTTTTTAAAAGTAGTCCTATCTACTACAATTGCCTTTCATCGTCTTCACCAAAGTCCAGCACCAAGAAGGCCCAATACCTAATGGTCCACGATCCAACGTTTATCTATTACTTAACTTACCATCTTACTTTGTTTCCAGATATTTTTTAAATAAAACCATATATAATTTGAGATTTTAAAATTTTTCTCAGGTTTAGTCTCCTAAGTAGTTGGCTTGTAAGAAATTCCGTTCATTTCATGGACAAAGCGAGAGAGTTTGCACATTTTGAAGTTTGAGGGGAGAGTGTTATGTTTTCAAATTTGGGGATGGTGAAAAAGTAATATAAGCTTAGGGAAGTTTACAATTTTTGTCATGCAAGTAAAGCAGCCAAAATAGATTATTTCATATGTATTAATGTGAAAGATTCCATAAGTATCCTGCAGACCGCAGTTTCATGTGTTGTTGATGTTGTTAATAAAATGTTTTAAATTAATGACAATTGTTAAAATATAAATAAAAAATGCCAATCATGCTCATTTGATAGTTATTGTTAAAATATAAAATTATTTTTGCCCTACTTCCTAATAGTTTAAGGTTTTGGGATGGATTGGTAAACTAACACGGTATCAGAGTGGGATGTCATGAATTTAAACCCCCCGTACTTACACTATTTTATCCTCATTTAAATTGTCATCACGTGTTAGGTATTTAATATATTTCGAACTTAAATATTCACGTGTTAGGTTTTTCAATTAATTTATTCACACGATTGCTCATTGTCCCGTCCACACGTAAAAATAAGTATTAAAGTATAAAATTATTATTGGTCTACCTCCTAATAGTTTAGGCTTTTGAGGTGCATCGGTAAACTAACAAATATGAGGCATATCTTGTTATGTGCGCATGTGTATCTCTTCAAATCTCAACAACTAGTAAATTTGGATGCAATATGCAATACTTTATTAAATTTAAAGATTGTTTGCCAAAATTAAAATATTTGTGGTATCTTGTGATTTAAAAAGAAAAATTGGAAGGGAAGATGCCAAATACTTTAAATGAATTTATTTATAAGATGTTTGGTTCATGCGTTTAAATCTATAATTCTCTTATAAAAAATTTAAATAAAAAAAGTTTCCATCAATGAACTCTCTCACAAAATTCATAATCAAAGTCACTAATTTGAACTCATGAACTAAACGGACCTTTAAGCACTACAAAGTATTTAAGTATTTAAAATTGCATAAACTGCCACCGATATTAAACACAACTAATCCCCACCTTCTATTAGCAACGTCATAAGGTGCCCTTAGAGTATCTGCAATTCAATGCTATAATCAATGTGCTAATTATAAATTTAGTATTTGAGTGTAAAAAATACTCTTTAATGTAATGTTATTTGTTGTGTTAAATTTTTCATATGCTATATTTTGTGACAAATTTCCTACAAAATACATATGAGAAATTTGGCATTTGATTACAAGCAATGCTATAGGGCACCGGTGGTGCTAAGCACCACCATCTAATAGAAGGTGAGTCCCGCCTGTGAGTCCCCACCTTTTATTAGATGGTGGTGTTTAGCACCGGTAGTGTCCTTAAATATTTTTCTTTAATTGCTATTGATTGAAATATTTACTTTTTTCATGTAATTATTGCAACTTTGGTATTTTTTCATTATTTTAAAAATAAAAGTTTACTTAACTACTTTTAAAGCTTAATGATTATGAAAAAAAATAGATTTAACATTTTAAATAATATTATGAATTAAAAAATACTTAAGGGCACAATTGGTGCTAAGCACTACACTAATAGAAAGTGAGCTTCACATGTGGGCTTCACGCTACGGGACTCACATTCAATTAGTGGTGGTGCTAAGTACCGCCGGTGACTGATAACATGACTCTTATGCATTGGAACAAAAATAAAAATAACGTACCATATTACACTTTTTAATATTGAATATATAATTAACATTAGTATTTGCATTGAGGATAGTCTTAGCATCATCTCCCTCGATAATTGGAGACAAAAGTGCAAAATGTTTAACAATTTAGGGGATTACATGCAATTTCTTGAAAAGAATGGGAAAGAGAAAGCAAAAAAAAAAAAAAGCAAAAAGTAAAAAATTCAGGGGCTGTTCAGCTAGGGTGTTTTTGAGTGAAAAACTCAAAAAAAAGCAACTCGAGTTACAATTTTATTTGAGTTCATGTTCTTTTAAGTTTTAACTCGAGTTTAAACTCGAGTTTGGGACTAAAACTCGAGTTCAAATTTTCCCTTCAACTCGAGTTCAAAAACTCGAACTTAAATTAATGAACAATATTTTTTATATTCTTAAAAATGCTATAACTTTTTCGTTTTAATTCTGATTGAGATGATTTTTTTTCTATGCGTTGACAACGAAAAGACGAATAAAACCTGACCCATATACCTTATTAAAATTTTTCATTAGCATTGAGTTTTTATTAAAATACTATCTAAATACAAATTCAAGTTTTGACTCACTCAAACACAAACTCAAAAAGATTCTTATCTCAAACTATAACTCAAATGTAAACAACCAAACACAAATTCAGGTCCCGTTCATTTCGCTGATTCGAGTTTAGAATTCGAGTTTTGCTATAGTAAAAAGCTCTCACAAACAGTCACATCTAATTTTTTTGCTACAGTAAAAAGCTCTTACATAAAATCACATCTCAATTCGAATTAAAAACTCGAATCAGCGAACTAAACGGGCCCTCAAATTATAACTTCAACTCAAGTTATAACTCAAACTCAACTCCAAATCTACACTCAAGTTACCTAACTCAAACACATCAAAAGAATAAGCCCATGGCTTGTTCTTTTAGAGTTTAACTTGAGTATAATTCTTGAGTTGAATTTGAGTTATAACTTGAGTTAAACTTGTAACTTGAGTTTGTGTTTAATTGTGTATATTTGAGTTATAGTTTGAGATAAGAATCTTTTTGAGTTTGTGTTTGAGTGAGTCAAAACTTGAATTTGTATTTAGATAGTATTTTAATAAAAACTCAATGCTGATGAAAAATTTTAATAAGGTATATGGGTTGGGTTTTATTCGTCTTTTCGTTGTCAACGCATAGAAAAAAAATCATCTCAATCAGAATTAAAATGAAAAAATTATAGCATTTTTAAGAATAGAAAAAATACTGTTCATTAATTTGAGTTCAAGTTTCTGAACTCGAATTGAAGAAGAAATAAGTCAAATTTTAATTCTAAACTCGAGTTTAAATTCGAATTTAAACTTAAAAGAATATAAACTTAAATAAAATTATAACTCAAATTATATAACTCAAATAAGCCCTCGATTCACAAAAGATATATAGACAGAAGTTTGGTCGTCGGGTGAGAACTGAAGAAGAAAGCGGGAAAACACGAACGAGTTCCGTACGAAAAGACCAGAAGAACCGCCCAGCTCCGCAATATCAGGAAGACGACGACCTCCATCTCTTTCTTTCCCCCTCAAATCTCGAGGTTCCTTCTCTTTTGCAGTAATCTTTTTTTTTATTTAATTTTTTTCATTTCTGTTTCGGAAAACATAATATTTCCGGTCAAACTTATCATACTAAATATCGATCACTTTGATTTCCATGTATTACATTCGTCAGATGCTTAGGGTTTGTAAACTTTTTCCATTTCTTTAGAAGTTTTTGGATCTGCATCTGTTTTTTTTTTTTTTTTGTTGGTATTTTTATTGATCTCATTATGCAGTTCTTGAAAATCCTAATTATTTTTTGGATTGTTTGTTATTTTCAAGGTTACTTAGAAAATTATCAATGATGAGAAGGAAAAAAAAGGTTACTTAGATGATCATAGATCGCTCCCATTTGTTTCCAGAACATCATGATGAAAAAGTCAAAATGCTGATTGTTGCTCTTTCCTATTGCTTGATTGTATATTTGTTTCTATTAGATTCGAAAATTTAATCGTTCATGAGATTATTAATGTGATTATTTCAACTATTTTCGGTATATATTCGATGTGAGTGAAAATTGTTACAATTTTTGGATTGGATAAGAAATCCTAAATGTTCTTGGTGCTGTTGTAATTATCAGTATTTGTGTTTGGCTAACCATTTTTTTTCCTTTTTCGATTTTTTGATGCTTCTCAAAAATTGTTAGTTCAGTAGATATAAAACTGCTCTGTGATTTAAACTCCACGATTTTTTGGCTGCCTTTCATTCTCAAGGTTAGATGAGTTCGTTTCATTTGTTTCGGGAAGATATTTGAAAGCCAAAATGCTGAATGTTGCTCTTCTCAGGCTTGATAGATGCCACAGGAAGATGGCAGCAAAACATACACTGTGGACGAGGCTCTTGTGGTCTTGGGGTTTGGACATTTCCATGTTCTCGTGCTTTCTTATGCAGGAATGGCTTGGATTTCTGAAGCCATGGAGATGATGCTGCTTTCTTTTGTTGGGCCGGCTCTTCAATCCGCTTGGGGTATCTCTTCTCATCAGCAGAGCCTCATTACTAGTGTTGTCTTTGCGGGCATGCTCATTGGTGCCTATTCATGGGGCATTGTTTCAGATAAACATGGTCGGAGGTTGGTCTTCCTATTTTTGCCCTTTTGTTTTACTGTAATACAAATTTTCATAATGTTGTATGGATTCCAATCTTGTATACCTGAATTCTTTGGGATTTAGCGTAATTAGATGTTAAATTCTCAATGTACTTGATTTTGTAGAAATTTCCGTCATTCTGCTTAGAATATATTTATTCATGCCATTTACAATTAAATATTTCCTACACTGGTATTTTTTAAATATGTGATGGCAAGATGCCTATTAAGTTGAAAGGAAAGTTATATAGGACTGTAATCCGCCCAGCTATGTTATATGGTAGTGAATGTTGGGCCATTAAGAGACAACATATATCTAAGATGAGTGTGGCAGAAATGCGTATGTTAAGATGGATGAGTGGCCATACGAGAATGGATCGCATAAGGAATGAAGTTATTCGTAGTAAAGTAGGTGTAACACCAATAGAAGATAAGGTGCGCGCAGGCCGCTTGAGGTAGTTCGGGCATGTCCAACGTAGACCGCTAGAAGCACCAGTTCGTGCTTGGGAGGACATTCTTATACTTAATACTAGGAGAGAGAGGGGTAGATCAAGAATTACGTGGACCGAAGTCGTTAGGAAAGATATTCTAGATTTAGGCCTTCAGGAAAGTATAATTTCAAACAGAACCGTGTGGAAAAGTGAAATCCATATAGCCGATCCTAATTAAGTTGGGATTAAGGCTTGTTGTTGTTGTAACATTTAGTTGCTTATAGTATGCTGAAATCTGAGGTACATTATGTGCTCTTATAGATTTGGACATTAAACAAAGCTTTATCCTTCTAACACTTAGGAGGAAGAGGAGTTTGAATTTGAACTATTAGGATGTCTTACTCTTATCTACTGAAAATATTTTCTTTAATGAGGGTCGTTTTTTTTTATTTTATTTTTATTTTTACATAGGTCTAACATTTGGCATTGGACCTTTAAGGACATTATATACTCACTTCTCTTCCTAATTATTCAAAATTTTCTTGCATTTGTTGGTGCTGAACTTTCTGCAACCTTCCTTTTCTGTGCATATTAGAAGAGGAAATGCCTCAAGAATGAAAGCCCTTGGCTCACTGCTTTCCATTACTGGGAATGGCCTAACTTGAGGTACTTAAGTTAATCATCTTCAAGATCAATGAGATCAATGAGCCGAGTACCGCAGTTTCGAATCATGACTTTTGTTAGTTCCACCTTAGGACTTGTTACACAAAACTCATTCAAATGCTCTTTCATAGAGAGTACACGAACTTGATTTCATAGTCACGGGTCGGAACTATTTGATGCTTTGCCCTTTTATTGTCTCTACCATCTGGTTGTCACTTTTGCTTCTGCTACACATATGTCCACTACAATCAAATATTAGTTACTCCCTTGTGTTTGTCGTTCTTATAGAGCTTTGTCCAATTCTTGATACCCTCTTTTATGTGTCTTCATGATTCCTATTCCTCTTTGACTTTAATTTACGTTTTTTTTTAATTCCTTATTCCTGCTCCAAACAGAGGTACTTGGATGGTTATTTTTTCAGCTTTTTGGACTATTGGAACAGTTGTTGAGGCTTCACTTGCATGGGTATGCTGCTAATTACCTTATTGTTCTTAATGCAGTTTATGCCAACAATTTTACTAAATTCTCGTGTCCGAAGTTTTTCCTTTATTCTTAAATACATATTAATTTATTATCCGAGAAGTAAAGGACTTTAGCTTTGTCTTATATACAAATTTATATTTGGAATGTAACTAGTGGAACCTTAGAGTCGTCTGGAAGCATGCACACAATTATATGAATTGAGTATTGCTTTTTTTATTTTATTTTTTTATTTTTGATAAGAAACAAGAGTATTGCTGTTTTTATTAGATAACAATCAAATGTTAGTCCGCCTGGCCCGAGCTTAATCTATTATGGAGAATTTTAAAACCTAATAGTATGCGTGCACAATGTTTTTCTATCTATAAGAATATGAATGTTGAAACAAAAGGGAAAAAAATAAATATAAATTGCATGTAATAGTTATCCACCCTTGATTCGCATTACTATGTTCATTGGTCCCATTTTTTTTAGGATCCGTTTAGAAGGTATACTCAAATCATAATTCTTGATTCTGACGTTTGAATTCAAATTTTTTGTGAGAGGAAAATATGTAGCAGAATCAATGATTTGAGTTTGGGTATATGAAACAACCGGACCCGTAGTGTTTTAAATTAGAGCTTGGGTAGAAGTCTGAAACTATTAGCCATGAGTAAGAGCTGTTCATGGGAGTTTCTGTGGATATTGATTGCTTCCATGCCCAAAATAAGCTCATATAATTTGCTTCTTCACCTTTTTTAGTTCATCAATACTGAGTAAGATGTATTATCTCTTTCTCTCTCTCTCTCTGTCTCTCTAGAAATCACTGTGATGAAAATGGACAATGTGACTAGACTCACCTTTTGGCCGTTCAACTTCCATCAGTTCTCTCTCTCTCTCTCTTTCTCACCCTGCTCTTTCTCTAGAAATCACCGTGATGAAAATGGACAATGTGACTAGGCTCACCTTTTGGCCATTCAACTTCCATCAGTGCCACAATATAAGCTACCAATCAAGTTTCATGGTTTTGCTCATCAGGAAAAATAAAAATAAAAATCTACTGCCGTTGACTTGTTAAATGCTATGTGCGTGAGAAAAAGGACCTTTGTGTGAATTACTTTGAATAATTGGTGTAATGTTAATAATTTCGTAATAAGATTGCCAGCAGTAAACATTAGTGAATTGCAAATAGAGTATTCTACACTTCACAAGTATGTTAATCTGTGAGAGTTTAGGGTGTTACTTTCGATATTTGACGAGAAATATACTGGGTAGGTATCCTAATCTCTAAATGTGATATCCTATGCAGTGTATTATGCCAACACTGGGATGGAGATGGTTACTTGCACTGTCTTCTATCCCTTCATCCCTTCTCCTTGTGTTCTACTGGGTAGCACCCGAGTCCCCGCGATTTCTATGCTCGAAAGGGAGAACAACTGAAGCACTCAGTATTTTGGAGAAAATAGCGAGACTGAACGGAACAAAACTCCCTCCCGGTACTCTTATTTCTGATCACCAAATTGAGTTACATGAAAATAATCCTGCATCAGAAGATGCACGTTTCCTCTCACCTAGAGTAAACGAAGATGAAACCTCTAAGGAAAAGAATTCTAACGTGGGGGGTCTCTCATCCCTATTAGTGCTTCTTTCCCCAAAATTACTCAGATCTACCTTGCTTCTGTGGTTTGTATTTTTTGGGAATGCTTTTTCTTATTACGGCCTCGTGCTGCTGACCTCTCAGTTGAACAATGGCCATAGTAAATGTATACCAAAGGAATTGCAGGCAGAAAAATCACAGGATATCAGCTATAGAGATATTTTTATCACTAGTTTTGCAGGTAACACCCGACTTAATTTCCTTTTTCTTTTTCTTTTTTTTGTGTGTGTAATGATCATCGATAAATTATGCTTAAAAATGTTTATCAACTGCTAAAACACTGGTGGGTGACATTTACTTTTGACTTGATGAAGAATTACCCGGGCTCCTTATAGCTGCCTTCACAGTAGATAAACTGGGTCGCAAGCGTTCCATGTCAACCATGTTCTTTGTGTGTTGCATATGTCTTTTCCCATTAGTCGTCCATCAGACTCAGAACTTAACGACTGGCCTTCTGTTTGGAGCTCGCACGTGCATCACAGCAACCTTTACAATCGTCTATATATATGCTCCAGAGGTAACATGAATTTATATATCATTTTCAGAATCAATGGATATAAAAATGTCTTCTCACTCTCTTATAAAGATGAAAATATGGAAACTCAATCACTCCTTCGTTTCCTTTGGACGGGTCATTCTTGAACTTTGATCTCTAGAGTTGAAGCTCTTCTGAATAGAATATGAGTTTTGCTTGTGTTTCTAAATAGAATTTGAAATCTATAGACTCTATTAAAACTCCAATCCAATAGGTGAAGACATTGCTTGGTTGGCATAGCTTCAGTTTTACTATGGTCGGTAGGATAGAAAAGAGGAAGTGCAGGGAGGGCTTGTTGGAAGAGAATGATAGGGTTGCTTGTTTGGTAAGAAGGAAAGAAGAAGGGCAGAAATTTTTATTGATCCCATCAATTTTAATTCTTCCAATTTTGGATGAATTTTTAATGGAAACATTTTAACCAAATAATGATGGCATTTCTTTTTTGTTCTTATAATTACAACAAAATTATATTAAGTTGGTGAACATAATAGGGTGGGAGGACATTCTGAGTTGAAGAGGGACAGTGTTGTTGTTATGTAATCTTGTTTTTTTTTTTTTTTTTTTTTCCTTTTGGTTTTCTTTTTGCCTTTTGGATGGATCTCTCGTCCATCTTTAATCTTTCTACACTCTTTGTTCTGCGTTTGTTTTTTAATAAATTTTTCGTTTGTTTTTTATTAACAAAAAAAATAGTAATTACACAAGTATCTTATTTTTCTTGTTTTGTATTCGGTCATTAAGTTTCCTCATATTTGTTTTGTGTTTTTATTTCCTTCCTTGCCCTCTTAGCTTTATATTTGATTCACATCAATATAAAGTGTTTCTTCTTATAAAAGAAAGAAATCTCTTATATTCTTTACTTCCCATGTATCAAGCGTCCTAAGGGAAAACTAATATCCTTTCTGCGTCTTATATAATTTTGCTCCATTTGTTTTACTCTCCCTCCCACCAAATTATTTGTGTTTGTAATCACATTTTTTAAAGTGCTTAATTTGAAAACACTAATAAACAATAAAATTGTTAGAACTGTTTATAAAACCTTGTTGAAACTCCAGAACAAATTTCAGTCTTCTATGAAGCGCTTTCTTGAGAAGTCGTCTGTTGTGACTTTGATTGGTAGTTCTTATGAAAGAGCGTTCAAACGCTCCAAAAGGCAGCCTACATGAAGCATTGTCAAACAAGTCTAGATTTAATGTTTCATTTTGTTTCATCCTTGTCATTTAATCTGATAGAAGTACTAATCTGTATACCATGATAATTTGGATTGTAGATATATCCAACCTCAGTCCGAACATCCGGTGTTGGACTTGCGAGCTCTGTCGGAAGAATTGGTGGAATGACATGTCCTCTTGTGGCAATCGGATTAATACACGGATGCCATCAAACCGCGGCCGTTATTCTTTTTGAGATTGTAGTTTTCCTTTCAGGAATCTGCGTACTCCTCTTCCCACTTGAAACCAAGGGTCGTGAATTGACTGATCATGTACTACTACCTCAAAATAACTAAAACCAACAGTAATAGTGGACCAAAAGTGACTCAGATTTTTGTGCAATGACACGTTTTGCAGAAAAATGAAAGAGAACATAATTCTGTTGCTTACGAAATTCTTGCTCTGCAAAGTGAAAGCACTAAATTGTAACTTCTATGCACTCAGATTTTCTTAGACGTAAAAGCTGGAGGAGATCTTGGAATTAGAGTACTCTCCAATTGGAGAAACTCATCGAAAGTACTTTTTAAAGACCAGCATATATCTTGAGCTAGAATTATTATTCACATTTTTAATGAATAATCAGATACTTGAATAGGCAAAGTATCTTATAGCTATTGGTCCTTTTTGTGTGTGTGTGTGTGTGTGTGTGTGTGGCTGAAGTTGTAGATTGTAGCAGTTGGTCTTGGATACTACCAATACCAAATCCAACCAGAATAGAGAATGAAATTAATCGACATATAAAAAGGTATTTATGCTCAAAAACCTTAGATAGATTCCTAAAAAAGTTACCTTATATAGAATTTAAGGAAAATTCTACAGCACGATATGAAATGCAGACTAGTATTCAAAAAAAAAAAAAACAAGGAAAGAAAGAAATGTAGACTAGTGGGTGACAGAACAACGATTTAAGATGGTACTGCCCAAAAAAACAAATAAATACAACTAGACTTGATTGCACTCTTCTTTTCAAGCTCGATAATTATAATGCTCCTCTCATATTTTATGAAATTGGTAAATAGTACTATTAGTCCTTAAATTTTGAGCATAATAACACTTTAATCCTTAGACTTTTAATTTTAAAATTTTTGTTTTTTGAAACAGTTTTGATCCTAACATTTAAATTGATAAATGATTTCTAAAATTTAACGTATCTATATTATATAATATCTGAAAATTATACATACATAGTTGCATTAAATTTGTGCTTTTTAACAATAGTGAAGAGAGCAGTTTGTACAAAATACAACTATTTTTGGTAAATTTTAAGTTATCACGTGTTGAAAACATGATTGCCGCATTAAATTTTAGAATTTGTTTGTCAATTTTAAGATGGGACCAAAATATGCCTTCAGAAAATGTTTTACTAATTAAAAGTTTAAAACCAAGTTGTTAACAACCCTTCTAGGCAACGATTGTACGCCGATTTTCTTTTCTTTTTTTTTTTTCTTCTTTTTCCTTTGTTAAACAACCTATTTTTATGCTCTAAGCACTTCATCACATCTAAGTAATTAATTAATGTTCCGTGTCACGAGTTAAGGCCCCGCTTATTTTACCGATTCGAGTTTAAAATTTGAGTTTTATCACAGTAAAAAACTCTTAAAATAGTCACATTTAATTTTTTTATTACATTCAAAAGTTTTCATATAAAATTACATCTCAACTCGAATGAGCAAGCTAAACAAATTGAGTTTTCTAATTATTAAAACGACAACATTAAAGCTTCCACCAGAAAAACGACAACATTAAAGTGTGACATTGGGAAGACAAGGGCGTTATTCGTGGGTAGTAATGTAATTTCACATCTTCCATAGCCGTCGGCCCTTATTTATGTCAATCTCCTCAGTTTTCTCTTTCTCCTATTTGAACCCTAAAATCACTCTGCCGTCCATCTCAAGAACACTAATTGTTTGATTGGGTCTTCTCTCAACTCTGGAGGCTAAATCCTTGGGCGATGGGGAAGACGAAGACAAAGACAAATGGCTTGCTATAGCCTTTGGTGGTCTATGACAGCAATAGCGTCAATATTCACTTGTCTTCAAATTCAACTACAAATGAGGTATTATAATTTTTTATGTATATATTTATTACTTTGAGTTATTGACTATTTTATTTGTGCGAATTTACCATATTTAGGGCTGAGTGAGTGGAAATATATTGGGAGAAATTAGAGAAAGAAAAAAAGCTAAGAAACTATTATTTATATATATTTTTAATATTTTCTGTTTAAATATTTTTGTTTTATTATTGCATGCTAGAATCATCTGCATACTTAGTGTGGACTTTAGATATACACCGAGTAGAATAAGCTGTCCTCGAGTAGTAGGAATTTTTACATTTGATATTCGATTTTTACATGAGGAAAGGATACGATCATTGTATGCAAGCCATGAGGAGATGATACGATCATTGCATACAAACATGAGGAGTCAATAATGGTCAGCGTTCGGTTAGCTGTTGCCGGTGAAAATGAGGCGATTATGGCGAAGATCGATCTAGTTATGACTAGAATGGATACTTTATTTAACATCCTTGATTTCCGTGCTAACAATGCTGGTAGTGGTGGTGCCTATTGTGAACAACCACCCTTACAAGGCGAACAGATCGGAGATAATAGTGGTGACGTCGCCAACCAACAACCCACGCTAGGAGAAGACTGTTCTTATGTGACTCCACCTACACCTATTCATAAAGGAGTGAGCTATGTGAAAAATGGTGACGAGTTTGAGAATCATGGTCGACAATTGAGGCGGAAAAAACGGTCTCAAGCCTTGCTTTCACCTTATTTAGAGTGGCCAAAGAGGGCTCGATTCACGAGGTCAAAACGACATACTTTTGAACCCTTTAGGCAGCCTTACGAAAAGGACAAACAAGCCTTTTGGAAATGGTTCAATAGTGATACCAAAAACAGGTCCACCATCCGATGCGGCCTCGCTATGCAAAATCGACATTTTTTTGAGATTATGTTGCACAATAGTGCTTTCTTAAATAGCGAGGTAAGTTACTATTCTATTTTAATAATCAAATATGTTTCTTCTTTTTAAATTATTAATTATATTTGTTGATTTAGTAATCAATTGAATTTTGCAGCATGTGGATGAGATTTTGTATTTGCTCAGAAAACAGATTGATAAGTTTCCAGATATTTTTCCTAAAGATATTTGCATTCTCAGCGATTGTTTTTTTGCAGACCTTGTGTGCATTATACGAGGATACTGTGAAAGACTTTAACGTTACTGACTAGGAGAAAGACTTTAACATTACTGACGAGATGAAAGACTATTACAAAGGGGTTAGGCCAAGTAAGGGAAGAGATTGGGCGGGAGTTAGTCGTTTCTATGTGCCATGTGACTGTTTCAACCGCCATTGGATATTACTTGTTGATGTTTTAACTTGGATCATAACAGTTTATGACTCGGTTCCTACTTGTCTTTCACTCACGGATTTGAACGCTGTTGTGAAACCATATCTTGAGTACTTGCCCTTTTTGCTTAAGAAGTCAGAGAAATTTGCAAGCTACGAGGAGAAATTCAAGCGTTCGATGATATTAGTGCAACTAGCAGAAAATACTGTCCCTATCAAGCGTTCGGTGGTCTATTGCAGCAATAGCGTCAATATTGTCAATATTGACTTGTCTTCAAATTCAACTACAAATGAGGTATTATAATTTTTTATGTATATATTCATTACTTTGAGTTATTGACTATTTTATTTGTGCGAATTTACCATATTTATGGCTGAGTGAGTGGAAATATATTGGGAGAAATTAGAGAAAGAAAAAAAGCTAAGAAACTATTATAATTTTTTTTTAAATATTTTCTGTTTAAATATTTTTGTTTTATTATTGCATGCTAGAATCATCTGCTTAGATATACACTGAGTAGAATAAGCTGTCCTCGAGTAGTAGGAATTTTTACATTTGATAATCGATTTTCCCATCAGATTTGACCACCGATTAGTCTTTTTTTTACATTTGAGTGTATTTTAAATGTACTATAGTGATGAACTATGGACACCGGATTATTGTAGCAAACTAGCGTTTGAGTGATTGATATGTAATTTATTGTCTTTGACTTGTTCTCATGATATATCTCGTTTGTATACATGATCTTTTTGCAAGGTTGAACAATAAAATACTCATGCCTCATGTATTATTAATGATAAATGAGTGGAACTGTGATGGATGAGATAATTTGTATCTACAGATGAACCTGTAAAGCAACAAGATGCGAGGAGAATAAGCAGATTATGCAAACGACAAACGGGACAGAAGGACAAGTCTAATTAAATTATCTGTGACAAACGGCATCGTTTTAGGGATCACATTGCGAATAAAATGTGAGTAGAATACTAGGAAAGCTATGGGAGACAAGTTTGAAAGTATTTAACAGCGATGGGATTCTACCTCTGTTACTCCATAATTCATGTATTCATTTCCGTTTAGTTTGTTGATTTGAGTTTTTAATTTGAGTTGAAATGTGATTTTATGTGAGTTTTTTATTGTAGTAAAAAAGTTAGATATGACCGTTTCTGAGAGCTTTTTACTATAGCAAAACTCGAATTCTAAACTCGAATCGGTGAAATGAACGGGGTCATTATAGTCGCAAAAAAAATTTTGACGCTCGTAACGTTCGTTTGTGTCATGTGAACTAATTTCTCTTTTCAACTTGAATGCCTTTTATTTTCCTTATTTTTGGCTAATGCACATTTTTTTCCATTTATTTCTCATTGAACTTATAATTTTTTGCATTAAATTTTGGTTCTCATATTTCATTTTTTTACTTATATAACGAATTATATTTACACGTAACATAATTTACATGGGTAAAAGATGGTTCTTATTTTGGTCATGATTTAAAATCAAAAAATAAGATAACTAAATACTAGTTCAAATTACATTTCAGGTTAGAATTAGAATCATGTATGCACACATTCAAATAAATGTTCTAATTATCATGAATCATGATTTAAATAATGAATCATGATTCAAATCATGAATCATGATTCAAATTATGAATCGTGATTCTGAATCAAAAAACTCAAATCACTCTGATTCTAATCATTATATCAAACGGACCCTAATATTGTTGATGTAGAACACACAATCTAGTACAGACACGGCAAGTTTCAAAAAGTACTTATTAGATATTTACAAAAAAAACTCATTGGACTGCTTAACGGGGATGAGAAAGTAGGCAAATAGAGACGGAATATGTAAGAATTCGTTAGTCTTGTTTTGCTTAGTTTATCTACTTCTTTAGCTTTGTTATTATTTATACATTTCTAAAGCTTTGAAATAGTTTAGCACTTTCAAGATTATTGACTTCAATGATTAGCAATTAGCATAGTAGAGTATGTAAATTTATGTTAATAGGTCAAACTATTAAGAAAATCTATTAACTTCTTTGATTAGTAGATCAATTATCGTATTTGTATTTTCTCAGATTCATGGTATTATATTAATACATGTATAATGAATCATTACAGTTATCGAGCGCATAATAGCCTTAATGCTTCAATATAATCAAGATAAAATTGTTAAGGAGTTTCACAAGATACTTATCTTATATTATGCTTAAATATTATAGGCTTCGAATATTTACGAATAACAGGGTATATAATCCATTGTCCGTTTCTAGTGATTATGAAATGAGCAATCCACAAATTGTAATTATACCAACATGTGTAAGCAATTAAAACCACGTTGGATTTGCTTAAGCCCAATATACATATATATATATATATTATTATTTTAAACCCACAAATGGATCAGAAATGCTCTCACCAAGTTTAGAGGTATGACAATTTATTGTTCTTTTTCACCACAACCTTTCAAACCATTCCCTTTTATTTTCTTCCTAAACCAAAGATGTCTTTCTCATGCAATCCTCCAGGCGACTTGTCTCAACATTATGGGTAAATTTTGAGGAAATTCCACAAGGCAGAATAATTAGATTAGTTACCGTCACAAAAATTAATAATTACTAACCTATAAAATAATATGAGAAAATTTAATGTTTCAAATGAGCCTAAAATCAAATAGGATATTGTCTAAGACAAATTACGAAACTTATAATTGACAGTCAAGTGTCAAACTATAATAGGATACAGTATCGACTGAATATATAGTGGAATATAATTTAGGATAATTCTTGCACGGAATCCAATTAAGTCCAAATCTCACCTACAACATCGAGCTAGTTTATTGCCTGAATTATTTTGTGTTTATACTATGTTTGTCAATGTGATTTATTTTTATACTGCTATATAATTTGCTATAAGTGTGATTTATGACATCACACGAACATGGTCACGTAGTAAACAGATGGTAATAAAATTCAATTAAGTGTCGTATCAACCTTCACTGAGTGAGAATTTTATGAAATGATATTTTTAAGACGTTCGGTATAGTTGGAAGTTCGATTCCCTAATTTCCAATTTGATTATTATATAGCATTGTGAGATTACAATTTGTATTTACCGAGTTTTAGCTCACTATATGTGTGTAGGTATGGATGAGAAGCTTGCTACCTTAGGCATCTTGACGGGCGGTACCACCCCATGGATTCTTGGAGTGGAGCAATCGCATTAGGGTTATCTTTAACGTTTGCCACATTAAGCCTTATATGCGGGTTTAGCTAGTTGAATCTACGATTTAGATAGCTGCATTGGCATGGGTGAGAGATAGACAACTCCACGCGATCACCGTATGGAAGACTTTCCGTAGCCGACTTCATGACCACTTTGGTCTGCGGTCTTATGAGCTAACATGACGAGTTCAGGGATCTTTTAACAATGTAAATGTTACGTTCAATAAATGTTATGTTGCACATGATTGTTATATAGTTTACAAAGATATTTGCATCATTGTTTTAGTCAAAATTGAGTATTGATTGGCTAGAATATCAATTTATGTGGTAATGATGCAAACCTCTCGCCTAATTGATATGTAAGAATCTTCATTTTTTCTTGCATTTGAGAATACTAATTTTGATTTTAGAAGTTTTTATTTTTTATATACTCGACAAAGTTGTTTTTAAAATTAAACATACAATTTTTTTTATGTAAGGCAAAAAGGTTTTTTTTACATAGTTAATTTCTACTAAAATTGACACTAGAAGTAAGTTTTGTGATTCGAATAGATGCATGAGTGGATTTTGTCTAATTAAAAAAGAAAGTAACACGTGAGATAGTTCGAGTGCTTTTGAAAACTCATAGTCTCATACAGTAACTTTTAGCATTTTGATTAATTATCATCCTTTACTAATTTAAGGGCTTATTACAATGACACTCATTGTGTTTTATTAAATTACAGTGACACCTATTTGATCAAATTTAATAAGCAACACCCTTTATCTGGAACTTTGTTAAATTTAGTAAAAAATGTCAAAACTACCCTGTGTTAAATTTGCTTTCTTTCTTTTTTATTTGATTTTTTTAATAAAAAATTGTGTTAGGATGTGTTGTAATACTTTTTTAAAGAGTTAAAGTAAAAGTATGTTAAAAAAAGTTAACGCGTTTAATTTTTTTGTATTATATTTTTTGTCATTCACGCTTTAAGTTTAATTTAAACCATTTTTGTTTTTTTACTAGGATAAAATTGTCCAATTTAATTTATTCTTTCAATTAAATTAATTTTCATTATAATATAGTTGGTCCTAGTGGTGCACCAAATATTGAATGGTTTTTAATTTAATACGCTAGTTTAGTAGATGAAGAACATTACTAACAAAGGATTTTTAGGAAAAAAAATCAAAAAAATATTTGTTTTTATATAGTGAAAATTATAGTTATAAATGTGTAAAAATTAACTAAACTCATTTTTTGATGCTAAATAAGGGTATAAATGTCTTTTCCAATATTATGTACAACCTAAAAACATTTTCCGGTAAATAGAGGGGCATTTTTTGCATTTTTCAAAAATTTAACAGTCAAGATTGACGGTCAACTCACTGCCAACTAACGGAGGGGTGTTCGTGTAATTTTTATAAAAAGTCGACGGGTGTTGACGTGATTAATTTCGGTTAAAGACACATTTGTTATTTTGACAAAACACAAAGAGTATAGTGTAAGAAGCCTATAATTTAATATACACTTTAAAATCTGTATCTAATTAATGAACAAAATAATTAGTAATTTTTTTACGAGTAACCTAAAATACAGGATTTTCTAAAAAAAAAAAAAGAAGCTAAAAATATGATGTAGCGATGTAAATTTCTCAATGATGAAGTATGGGAATTTTAAAAAGAAGAAGAAGAAACATTCGACAGCAAAACAAGAAAGAGTTTAACATTGTTGGTCACTTCACTGTGCAGTGTGTATGCCATACTTTTTAATTAATTAATTTATGCATTTATTCGTAAGATATTCTCCGATACGTTAACATATCAATAGTTTAAGTTTTTTATTTATTAAATTTGTATAAAATCACGTAAAAGTTAAAAAATACGCAGATTCAACGGTTAAAAACCTGACATACCGATATGCCAAGCGTATTGGAGAATCTCTTTTATTCTTAATTTACTTCTTTTTTTGGTCATGCATTAATCACTTGTTTATGAACTCCTCAAAAACATGTTAATTACTCAGACACCCCTTATATTTTGACAAAAATTACAGTGACGCCTTTGACTTTTAAAAGAAAACTATACACCCGTTAAACTAGGACCCGTTCACTTCGCTGATTTGAGTTTGTAATTCGAGTTGAGATGTGATTTTGTGTGAGAGCTTTTTACTGTAGCAAAAAAGTTAGATGTGACTGTTTCTGAGAGCTTTTTACTGTAGCAAAACTCGAATTCTAAACTCGAATTGACGAAATGAACGGGGCCTAAGAGTTGACTGTTAATGTTTCCCGTTTATTTAAAAAAAAAGCCAGAAATGTCGTTTCATGTACCAAAAAAACATTTCTAAACTATATATAATGTTGAAAATGTCAATTTTATCCTTATTTAACACAAAATAATGGATTTGCTTGATTTTTACACAATTTAACGTTAAATTAATCTATGGTATATTTTTTTAACCGAGAAAAAATGTTTTTCTTTTCTTGTTCCCTTGTTCTTCAAAAAGTATTTTTTTTCATTTTTTCAAAATAGCAATTTTGAAGAATTTACACCTATAATATTTAAAAATAATATAGATTTTTTTTACTACATTGAAACAATAAGTCATTAAAATACACAATTAAAATAAAAGAAAAAGAAAATTACAATCCAAAAAGGGTAGTTTTGTGACAACCCTAACTTTTAATCACCATCCTATGTTCGTACTTAACATTACCTAACTTCTACTATTTTTTAATTATAACCTCCTAAAAATTCAAGCTAATTTTTTTTTTCTGATAAATTTCTCAGTCATGACAAGTTTTGACATTTCTCACAATAATTTAACAAAATTTAGAACAAAAGGTGTTGATGTTATTAGTTTCGCTCAATAGTGTCACTATAATTTTGACAAAACAAATGGGATGTCAATGTAAATAACCCATCAAAAACCAATACTTATATCACTTCGTTTCTTTTTTAACATTTTATATATGACTTTTCTTTTTTATAACATTTCATCCTTAAGTAATCTCATCAATTTGTACTTTCAACAAATTAAAATTCTCCACTTTTAACTCATATTTACAGAACATCTTTTAAAGTAGTAATAATAATAATAATAATAATAATAATAATAA